CAACTTTACTATATTCACTCACCCCTTCCCCCACAAGGGGTTAGCACTTGTGGCTTGACGTTGACCTAATATCTCAGGAGACTGCACACTCCAGTGTTCGAAAGCACTTCATGTTCCTCGTCAGCGTTGTCGACAAAACTATCTCTCCGAAACGCAGCGAGAGAAGTGAACTGGTGCTAAATGATAACAGCCTGGAAACTTGTCTTTTAGACTTAGACTTAGCGGCTTTCCTCTTGAACTTAGCGGCTCCCACTTCGTATGGTGAATCTGAATGGCAAACCTGCAGTCATTCGCCATCACAGATGGTGGATTAGGAGTTTGCATATAGACGACAAGGTTTTGAGTAACTCGATAGTGAAGAAAAAAAAACAGAAAAAACATGCCACCGCCCTAGATAGAACCCAATTCGATCCCAGTTTGTACGTGCCTAATTACCAACACTAACCCTCACCCGCTCAGCTAATCCAAGAACTCTACGACAGTACAAGCGACAATTTTGATGCTTTTTCGTCCTGTTCGTTTTTCTTTGAAGCGGCACTTGAAGGCGGAGTCTGGGGAGCAGAGTCACTGGAGAAAAGGAGGCGTCACTGGACCTATACTGCGCTGTAGCGCCCCTCCCTCAGAACCTTTTGCTGCGAAGTCGGTACAAGGTTGTTCGTCGCGGACTGCACTACCCTCCTGAAGCCATTCAACTTTTATACCTGTTCGCAACTCGTTTATCGTCTTTGAGTCGTGTAAAATAATAGAACAACAGCGGCGTTCGTAGAGCAGAAACTACGATTGAAGATTATGTGCTCGACCACGCTGTGGGTCCATCGTAGAGAAAAGGACTCCTGGAGCTGCGAGTTACCATCGACCGTAATAGTCGAACTTATGAACTCAGACTGCCTTTTACCCTTATTCGTTCCGCTCCGTCCTTGCAATACAGAATCCATTTCAGGCGTCTCCTGGTTTAGAAATGGCTACTGCAGAAACTGAAATTGATACATCACCTAGAGTTACTGAAGTACTGGGAAAAGCAGATGAAGTACCTCCCGGGATGTTAGTTGTGAGATTGCCTGGAATGGATCTTGCAATCTTGCCTACATCTTACAATCTCTACAGCGTATTACGTAATTTTCGTAAAATGTTCAGGAAGAAGACATTCCTTGTTAAAGACAAGCCAATACTGGTTATTAACGATAATGGGACGCTTTACGGTATCTCCGGCCTGTGTTCATATCAGTTCTTGCAGTCGCCTGGACAACTCGTGTTTTATGGTGCGGAAAGACGGTCAATGCCAAAAGTAAAAGGAGATGAGGTCATATTTTTGGTGGGCGGGCTGTCTGCAGACGGCATGCAATTGATCGGTAGAGTGCAGCTTTTACCCGCTGTTGGGAGTGCCGGTCGAAGGACCTGGAAGCGGCGTGGCTCCGAAAGGATTGGCAGGCACTGCAATTGCCGGATTTACAGAAGCAATCAGCCCACTAATCTCGTGTGACTGTCCTGTCGCGACGAGTGTGCAAGGCGGTGTGTCGAGTCCGCAAGGCTACAGCATAGGCTGTACGCGATTTTCCCGGCTCAAAGAAGTGCCGATGGGACTTACGGGTCAACTGCAGAGGATCGGGAGCAGGTGGTAGCACGTTATACACATGGAGCGGTGTGGCACGTCCAGCTGTGTGTCTGATCGTAAAAGCCGTCGTGATATGTCAGACGGTGGAGTAAACGAAAAGGAATGTGAGGGGGCGCCCGGCAGACAAGTAGCGCGTTTGGCTGTTGGGCGTGTGGCTGACAGAGCGGTTGGAGTATGGAGACGACATACGGGCATCGCTACCCTCCAGCCCCATTCCCATATTTGAAGCGGGAGTACAATAGCGCACAGTGCTACTGTCTGCGGATCGGGTTCAACCCAAGAACATGGCGCGAAGGGACTGAAGCCAAAGACATGGCAAGGACTAGAACCAAGGGTGTTAGTGTACAGCTTGTTTTTGGAAGGATTGGTCAGTGTAGGTTGAAGGCAGCGCTCTTGAAGGCCAAGAATTTTTCCCATAGACAAAACAAGTACTGGAAGACTGCAAAAAGTGGGAGAATCAGCGTCGTATCTCATTAAAGAGGCAGCATTATGTGGAACTCAGTCCCAACAAAGTTGAACAGGTTCTCAATATGAGAATAGCTCTAGAAATTGAGTCTAGTGATACATTTTCTGACCTTTCTGCGGCATCCCTCTTTTGTGATATGAGTTAACAAGTATGGACATCCGAGTTTTCAAACTTCTCGAAAATCCCTGCATTTATCCTCAAGAGATTGAAAAACTTCTCAAAGTGCAATTAGGAAATTTCAAGGATAAATTAGATACTTTTAAGCATATATTGCGATGGTAGAATTCGTTGCACTCTTCATGGGGCTTGCTATAACGTAAAGACAGGTGAACTTGAAGATTATCCAGCTCTTGACAGCTTGTACACCTATGACGTGAGTATTAATAAGGGTTTGAACAAAGCCCCGTTGTCTTCTGTTAAGAAAGAAGTTTAGCTTCATCAATAGAAAAAAAACATCGTTTCTTGATAAAGCAAAATTTCTCAAAGGGTTTGACTTCAGACTTCTGTAAAGAGTTTTTAATAGTTTCGGGTGTCAGACTACGGTAGGAGCAAAATGGGAAGGTTTCATGGAGATTTTAGAGCTTTAAACTCCTCTGTGGACAGTGCTACTTTTTTCTCCATCTTTTTATGGACTATACGGCCACCAGTCTAAGCTAATGCTCGGGATGTTCTCAGAGAGGATATGGTTTGTCTCATCGCCGTGTTGGTACGAACGTTTCGTAGCCAAAGATGCCCTCGCATATATTGCCGAAGATTTCATGGTGGTTTTGGTGGGCCACCGCACTGAAACGCCTTGGATATGCAACCGAAAGAAACCACACTTGAATTAGCGACAATGCTATAGCCCAACCACTAAACACCTGCTGGGCTCCTTCGCGATCCCGATTACAAGAAAACCTTTTGGAATCGGTACCGGGAGGAGTAGGGTAAGAGGGACATCGCAGCAGCTCACAGCTCACTTCTACAACTCGTTCGACTAGAGTGATGGGCAAATGTGGATATCTTGCTTGCATCAGGCACTGGTCTTACTCTCTGAATCTTCAGAGTCCTTCAAACAGAAGTGCCCAGGATTCCTTCTTCCTCAGTTTGCGCGGTTGAGCCATGAGAAACAATATTGCGATTTATTAGGTCGTCCCAAAAGTTCGTGGAGCTTTCGAACATTTTTTCGAGTTAAGTTTATTCCAGTGAGAAGCAATTTTGATCATTAATATATATGTTACCTTCATTGGCAACTTGTTGCCAACCACCACGCAATGAGTGGTTGCCTTGCTTCCAGAAGCTTCTTGGTTCTGTGCCCAGAAAGGCAGCCGGGTCATTTTTGAGGTACTATCACAGTGGAGACGCAGTCCTTGAGGGATTCTGCCACCGCTATGGCCACGCCATTCCGTTTGGTGTCTGCTCCATTGTAGAAGAGTTTGACACCTTCTCCAATCTCGCGGGCCTTCGCACCCTTCCATCGCGTTTCCTGAAGGCATAGGACTTGGATATTCCTGCGTCTCATGAGGTCGGCAACCTCACGAGACTTCCCGGTAAGCGACCCCACGTTCAGGGTCCCAATTCGAACTAGCTTCTTTGGCCGAGGTCGTTCACCCCTCGGTAGCCCTACTGACCACAGAACTCGGGCGAGGGTTCTGCGCGCCACTTCCGGGTGACGTCCTAGCTTTAACACTGATACTTTGCGACCATGGTTGTTGTGACGGGTTCCTTCCATCAGCCGGCCTGCCAACCTGGGCCTGACGCTGGTATCGTCCCCATTTTACTGCCTAATCGAGGCAATTTGTGCCTTCGCAGGTGAGCGACTCAGAGTGTCGTAACATGGGCATACACTCTTGACACCCGGCTATCCCGCTGCCCATCTCGTGTTTAGGACCAAATGTAGGGATCTTACACCCCTCCCCTTGCATGCGATACAAAATCCTCTCGGTGACGAGTAGCGTATGGAAGAGAAATTCCCTTCTGAAGGAGGAAAGAAACCTCACCACATGTAATGGAGCTTTTGCAGCTCCTTTTGGCGGTGCGAGTACAGCAGTAACTCGTTTTCGGCTGTGTAGTAGTAAGTAGGACATGCCAGTCGAGAGTCACTAAAGGAAATATATTTCAACATAGTTCGGCCGTATATAGGGAGGCTAAGAACACTAGAGAATGAAGAAATAGTGCACAGTAGGCGATGTGGCGGAATCAAATCGCGCGGGATTCACATCCCTGGCTCGCAATCAATACAGGCTTTATAACAACTGCCTTTATGTAACAACCGTTGCGAGAGGTAACAAGTCACAAGGGTATAAAGTTACATTTTTGAGAATCTACATTACAAAGACTCAAGAGAATATAGAAGTGCATAGTTAGTATTTAAGAGGATCACTAGTACAAGTATTTCCCCTGTACGCGCCCCCTTTTGGGGAGACCCGACGGCTTCTTGCGGTGTAGCTGCTTCTAAAGATGCATACTGCTGGCTTGCCTTGCATTGTCCTTAGCTTCTTTCGGGAGCGTTTTCATGACCGCTTCTAGATAGCCCTTTCAGCTTTTCCTCCCCCCATCAGATGAATCACATACCATACATCCGCACCCGATCCTACCATATTTCATCGAAAAGGACTTAACAAATTCCGTAAATCCCTTACCGTCTGGGTTATCAAAGATCTTAACCTCCGGAAGTGCCATCGCCGCTCTGTCCCAACCCCGGTATCAATGTGCGAACTCGCATCGTTAAAGGTTGGAGACAAACCTCTTAGGGAGTTGTCCTTGGCTGGCGTGAGGTGAACCGTGGCTTGCTGTGGCTCGTTCCCGACAGCGTTGCTCTGAAATACGTTCTGGTGACTGTATTGTCTAGCTTTCGACAAGTCACATTGCATAGACAAGCGCCTACCTTCCGCCGCGCTTACCGCGTCGAACTCGATCGGCGGCAGGCTTGCTCTGTCTCGACATCGTTGGCGTTTAGCAGCATAAAAGTTCTGCGGAAGTCGGCTTGCTGGGTCTCGCCGCACTCCATCGCATGTTCCGTGTCAGCATGAGTCGATGGAACCTGCAAAGCATGTCTTTGTCCAGTTGGCTGGACTTCAAAAACTAGCGGTTTTCTAAGTGGCAGTACCTTTCTGCCAGTGTCGTCACCGCATCTGTAACTGCACCGGCCTCGTCGCGATGGTGCTGTTGGGTTAGCAGTACGACCTGAGCTTGCAGCTGTGCCAGCTGTTGCTGGACCTCATTCAGCTTACTGTCTCGTGCGTCATCCTCTTCGAGGATACGGTCAAGCTCTCTTTCCATTTCGTCTGCCATGGTTGCTTCCTGAAACGAGGTCTGTTTCAGTCAGAGCAAAAAAATTGACGCAAAAAAATTTTGCGCAGAGTTCCCCCTTAGGAAACTGCTTTCTCTCTGTCCCTCGGGTACTCTGGCTACACAATTCCTGTGCACCGGGGCTCCCAGTCAACAGCTTATTCAAGCGCGCCGCTCTTCACGGCCCTATGGTTCGACTGTGCTTCTGAGGAACTCAGGGATCCCCTGGTTCCTACTGCACTCAACTTACCCGAAGTGGTTCGGCCCCCATGTAATGGAGCTTTTGCAGCTCCTTCTTTTGCGGTGCGAGTACAGCAGTAACTCACCCGTTTATTTCGGCTGTGTAGTAGTAAGTAGGGCAGTGCCCAGTCGAGAGTCCACAAGAAAGATATTTCAACATAAGATCCGGCCTTATATAGGGTGAGGCTAGACAACTAGAGAATGAAGAAATAGTACACAGTAGGCGATGTGGCGGAATCAAATCGCGCGGGATTCACATCCCTGGCTCGCAATCAATACAGGCCCTTAACAACTACAGTTATGTTAAACAACGTGCGAGAGAGTGTACAAAGTTACAAGGTAAGAGTTTACAATATTTTAAGAATCTAATTACAAAACTTCAGAGAATATAGAGGTAGCATAGAATATAGAGGATTCATAGTACGAAATGTTCTGGGGGATTTCCCTTACACACATACGCATACGCAGTCTCACAGCAACTAGACGACGAAGAATAGTTTCATGTAGAAACTGCCAACCCTCCAGTGCTAGGCATATATAGTTTGTCGGGATATTTCACCTTGGATCGCCAATTTACTCTTTGAGAGGTAAATGGGTCAGCACCTGCACTAGTGCGCCACTTTCTCTGGCCAAAAGTGCACGTTACCTAGGTGAAATGAATTTGGGTGGGTGCCGTCCCCATACTCCGTCTACGCGATTCTCCATATGCAAAGCTTCTGATTATATCAAGATCTCGCAGCCGCAGAGAACAACCAGAAGTGAGACAAGTCGCGCGCTTCGCCCGGGTAAGACGGTGGCTGGCCGTGCCGCAAAGCGAGCGGGACAACAGTTGCGTACCGCTATTTTCCAGTCACGTTTCCGTGCACTTTTAACAAAGTGGCACGCTCCCACAACAGCCGACCTGTTCACTCAGGCAGCCAGACAGACTTCGAGCCGACGCGCTGGAAGCGCTGTTGCTCGCATCGATTACTGTGACCGCGCCCCAGTGCCGTGGACGAGAACTACCTATAAAGGGGTGTCTGCAGGCTGCGACACGAGAACTACCTATAAAGGGGTGTCTGCAGGCTGCGACCGTGACTCCTCCGAGGGAGAGTGTGGGGGAATATAAAAGTGGCACTTTGCCAAAACACTGGCTGCCAGAGCCAGTATTTGACAGAGCGCCATCGATGCCAGGCGGCCATCGCCATCTGTGTACGGCTGCCTTACCGTGTATTGCACTGGAGTGCGTTTGCAAGTGTAGCGCGTCGACGCGTTCTGAATGCTGCCTCATATATGGCAAGGTCCAAGGAGGGTGAGTGTATAGTTGGTCTCTAAGCGACCACGTTTTCGCGTAGTGATCACTGTTATAGTCAGTGCTAAATGAAATAAAAACAGAGCCCGCGATCAACCAAGGTACAGAAATCCTTCAGGGTACTAGGTAGCGGTGGGTAGTCGCAGAGGATATCCCGCTTTCATAGTTCAGAGGAGCTTATTAGGAGCAGGACAGCTCAGCGACAATAAGCTAGCCCCGTCTTTGCAGGCTAGTTCCACCCGGATCATTTTTTTGTTATCAAGATCCGCTAAGTATGGTAATTCGAAGTGCCTCAGATAGGGAATGCCATAGGAATAAATCACGAAATCGAATATGCCTTGAAGAATGAGTCGCGGCCAGACGACGGCTAGATATTGAGAACCTGTCCATAATTTGGCTAACTCGTCCACCTTCAAGCCCGTACTTGAGTCACATTTGAGGTGACGTTCTTCTACGGATGTATTCTTTTTGCAAAATCACCTGATGACTCTGTGCCCTGCAACCTGAGAAAGGCGATCGCTCCTCAAGTGACGATGTGGGATTTGAACAAATTTCACACGTAGTCATTACCCCTGCAAACAATGTGACGCGTTGACGTTGGAACGAAGGCGCTTATTGATGGGAAACACTGTACCTTGGCTGCGCTCCACTTCACATCTCGTCACATAACCTAAAGATTGCGAGGATTATGACCTTAGGTCTCATCCAAGGGTACAGCCCAACAATTGATACACTTCCACGTTAAACAGAAGGACCACGTGAGGGAGCGCTTGCGTGTGCACGCTGACGGGGTCATAAGTACGCATGTAAGAGGCGATTTGTTAACTGTTTTTCGCAAACAAAGACGAGACTAACCACGTAAAGAGGAGTAAAAATTATCTCTCAGGTGCAAGAGAAGGATGGTTCCATCGTCATCAACACCACTGAAAAACAGCTACAAAATACCAGAAGAACTCGAATGTCAAAGTTTCTGCAGACATGTGACGATGATCCTATCGTAGTAGTTGGAGGAGGTAGGGGCTCCAAATTGACTGTAAAAGTATTTCGTATAGTATGAATGTTGAGTAGGAAGAAGTGCTGAAAAGGTACCATCGCCGTCACTTTACATTGATAGGACAACATAATAGGTTTCCATTTTTTCCCTGCCATCTCCCATACCACAGTTACCTAGCAGTGGACCGGCTGATAACCATATACAGAGGGAGCCAGTAGAGATACTTTTTTCCTCGACGCTTAAGGCGAAAAAAGTTATGCGTTATTAACTTCTGACTTGAAGTTTCCACCATTCAGATTCCTTTCTTTAAAAACACATTGTACATGATCACGAAACTCCGCCACAGCCTTCTGACGAACGCCATCGAGAGATTCTGCCACGCGACCGTGATTCGGTGCCTGAGTTCAGCGAGGTCGTTGATTTCTCCGCCACTGTAGACCACTCTGTTGAGCTCCACCGAACCCGGTAACCGAGGGGGGTCAAGGCATATGGCACGATAATTTGGTACTCGGTCCAAAATGCTAGCAGTTGCGATTTAGTGTGGAAAATGGCAAAAAAAAACGAAGTGAAACGGTCAAAAACCTGCGAAGAAAAGCCTTCGTTCTTCATGACTCAGAAAGTAATTTCGGACGAGTTTCCCGTAGGCATCGTGCCAGTAACCGCTACGGTAGATACGGCTGCACGTGTGTACGTATATGTTCATGCAGCACCACAGCCACTTCATATCACTTCATATGATATCGCTTCTCTTCATATTGTACTTCGCAAATGAAGCAATACAAGCATCATGTACGGTCTCCACTTATGGGCGTCAGGGTCGGTAAGTTGCGGCTTGGTAGGGCATTATAAGTGTTCCATCTTTGGAGAGAGCATTACGCCGGACCTCCTCAGGGTCAGGGAATTCCGTCCTGCCAGGCGTATTTGTCCTATTCGCTTTTGCAGGATTTATCGTGCCAACTTCCTTTAAGTTCGGACGACATACTTGGATATTCCGTCTTCATGTACTCAAACCCTTTGATTCCAAGTAGACGAGAGTTTTCCCAAGGTTCTTCTGTTCCATTGGGAGCACCTGATCTCGTAGCAGTACGAAGTTTGCGAGCTGATCAATGTAACAGTCAGCGTTCACTCTCATCCGAGATTCATGGAAACACTGTCGGTCTCCCCATTCCAGGAACTTCTCCATACCATCAACCCGCGCCTTGGCGACTGCGGTGAAGATGATATCCTGGACCGTAGCGACGTTGTCGGAGCTGCTCGATGTTGGAGGTCTTCCAGATCAAGAGTGCTGGTCCCAGGTAGCTGTCCATGGGTGACTCCATACAAGAAGTTTCGCTGTCTGGAGGTGACGTGAATTCCACAGACCTTCTTCAGTTAGGTTGTGATAGCAAATGGCTTCACATTTTGGTGTACATGAGGGCGATGGACGAGAGCTTGCTTCCGCCTATTGAGGGACATCTTAAATCCCGCCCTGGTGCTATTCACGTCTTCTTTCTGGGCTGAGTATTTTCTTACTGATCTTCGCCGACGGCGAAGTGTCGTTTCTTTTCGTTTTGCCCCCCCCCTATACACCGAGAGCCCGATATAAAGGCAGAGAGGTAGATCTACCAAATGCAGGTTTGCTCTACTTGGTGGCGGAGTCAGCCTGCGACCTGGATGTGCTCTAGTTCGCTGCGGATGAAGAGTTTGTCAAGGTGCCGCGACGCCGAACCCGTTGTCTGCTAGTGGAAGCGGGAATGCGACAAATATTGGTATTAGATTGTCCGGAAAGTTCTCAGCGTTTTGAGTGTTTCACTTCAAACGATCATAAGTTTTTTAATAGTAAGGCTGCGTTTATACTTTGCTGCTGCGTAGCGTAGCGCTTCCAGAGTACGCCAGCGACATGCCGGGGAGAGGATGCATATCGCTCTAGCATTCCGAGCGTCACCAGCGTAGGCTAGCGTAACGCTAGCGTTTCACCAGCGTTTTGCTAGCGTTTGCAGCGGCAGGGG